CTGGGTGTTCAGGTTTATAACCAAAGAGAATATGAAGCAAAGAATACGTAAGGCATTTCATGATACTCGTAGATATCTCCACAGAGAATGTAACTGAATCATTTCGCACTCGAACTCATATCTGCTTATGGAGGTCACTTTAAACATTTCCTTGATTTGATTCACCGGTTGTGTTTTTGTGGGTGTATAAATTAATAACATACAGCATGTTATCGTAATAAATTAATGGTTTTTAAGGTTCATCTATTTGAAAATGAGATTCAAATAAAATTTTGAATTCTGGAACTTTGCTTTACCTAAAAATAAGAAGCATAGGTACACGATTAGATACTGGAAACTTTTAATTTGTTTGAAAATCGTTAACCGGATCAATTTAAGTATTCCATGTGAAAAATAGAAATACTTTTAAAGTTGTCCAGATTCCCGAATCTCTGATTAAGATCCTTTGTGGCGATTGTGGAGACCAAGCTATGCTACATATAACAGTTAATATCCGTAAACGGTTGACAATACCAAAAAAAATGGTTAGACGATAAACAATACAAAGGTACATATGGTGTTCCATTAAAAAAAATGCGGATACACACGACTTTTATGGAACACACTTCTTGCCCAAAAATATCTTTGGATTATAAGGTTTCTCGTGCTTCAAAAATTTTGTTTAATACATTTTTTCTCTAATCTCCACCAGTATTTTATAGGAAACGAAGGCTTTGACCTAGCAATTTTTTCAAAATGAATCGATTAACTTGAAATTTTGACAGTAGGTCCCTACCTACTATCTATTAGGGACTATTTCCTACTAGTCCAACGATCAAAATCTATACCTATTATGTAAAAGGACGCCATCACACTGGGAGTGGTTGCACTCCATCTCGGGGATGGCAATTTTTTATTATAATTAGACCACAAAAATAGGTAGAAAATTTAATTTCAAGCAAAAAACGTTAATTTTTTTGTAAAATTAATTCCTTTGCAGTTTGTACCTAGTTGGTTATTCGAAACAAATTCGAAAAGTATGCATTCTATAAAAAATGGTTGAGATCAAAATTGTATAGCTTTAAAAAAACACAATAGTACATTATATACCAAGGTAGAGAAGTACAGTATTATTGCCTGAGCACCAAGATTACATCTCGAGGCGCTTCCGCCGAGGGGTGTAAGGTGCGAAGGCAATAATAGACTTCTCTACCGTGGTATATATACTATTTTTTTCACTACTAGCACTTGAAATCCTCTAAATTAACATATTATATTGATAAGAAAGTGAACGGTTGAACAGAATTTTTTGTTTATTAATTTAACATGTCAATCAAGTACGTAGAAGTACAAGTCAAACAGGCCGTATTTTGTTCTGTCATTGAGATATTTTCAAAGAGTAATTTCGTTCGAATTTTTTCAAAATGTGATAATTTTCGGTATGTAATTTCTCTGGAAATGGCGGATGGTGGCAATTATTCATTTTAAAGAACTTGTCCAAACGTTTATTGAGCGAAATTTCGGTTTGTTTTCTAAAAGTGACAGCGTGACAGTTCTCATTATTGAGTACTAGTTAATAATGTCCACATTATTAACCACTTTGAACAAATGCCGAGAAAGCCTACTTTACAAGTGGAAAAAAGGTTAATAATCATGTCATCAGACGCTAGTAGTGAAAAAAATGGTTTTTTAATTGTCGCTGTTTGACCAATACAGTATCAAATTAGGTACACCTTTTTAATTCAAAATATTTTGCTCATCAGAAATGTTCTGTGCGACAAAAATTGAGTGTGATACAGACGTTTAAAACATGTATTTGTATGCGAACACTTTTAAGCTCATCCCTTAGTTTTAAACTGGCAACTCTCTATGGGAAGCCAGCAAACGATTAAACGACTGACCATTCAAAGCCCACCAATTAGAAAGGCAAACGGAAGCTGGGTACGTAGATTCGTAGCAAACTTTTTATAATATTGGATACCATCAATAGTGAAGTGTAAGTTGAGCTTAATCCCAAATTTTTATGGTAATCGATCCATTTTGAAAAATTGGTAAGTTTTGCATTATGCTTTATTCCTGGACCACAGTTTGAGTTTGCTTATCTATCTAATTTTACTTGCCATATTCTCCTTTAAATATAGGAAAATTTACAAAGCGAAAGTTTAATTTTATATCGGCAAATGTGACCTTAGTAAACTGTGAATCACGGAACCGAATTACTCAGATACGTGTAAGGTGAATAAGTATGCCGAATGTTTGATTTGATGTATATTAAATAGTCAGTTACATCGTGGTTACAATTCAGTGTACACGTATTAATAATTGTGGACTTTTGAAGTGTGCTTAGATCGGAAAATGGTTGAACACCGAAGGAGGACCAGAACAAGGTACAGAAGTTTTTAAATACTCGTAGAGTTAAACTCTGTTTACAGTTTGAATTTCGTTGTTTATAATCTTTCAATGTTTTGGAAAAAACAGTCTCTAAATAAGCACTAACCAGTCAGTATTATCAAAACTCACTATCTGTAATTACATTATCTTCCATTGCAAACTTCGAACGGACATTCGTCTCTAAAACGAAAGTTACCATTCCGTTCTTTTTTTCGGTATTGTAAGTGCCACTGTCCGTCTGTTTTTGCAGAACCATCTTTCTGCAATTGATCTGTCGGTCTGAGATCGCCAAGAGGGAAAAATCATAGCAGGATGATTTTTAGACAATAGATTGTGAGGGTTGTGCAGGTGCTAAATTCGCGCATATTTTCTACGCGGTTTTTTGTTTCATAAGGTCGTACTGTAGATGACCAGATTTTTTGTACATATCTATCTCAAGAAAATGTTTTTGCATAGATTTTAATAGGGAAGTTAAGTATAAATCATTTTCCATCGAAAGCCATTCTTTGGTGCCCATTGTACCCTATTGTTTCCATAGACAAACTCTACCTTACTTACTTAGGGCATCCTTAGCCGAAATTGATATGTTCAAAAATCCCAACTTATGACTGCAGTTCAAAATAAATTTCAGAGATGTGTTTCCAAATTTCTCACTAGTTCTCTTTGCGCGTATAATAGTTGGAGATGTCTTTTTGTAAAATCCTCGTTGAAGTTCTTGGAGGAATCACAATCTTAGAACTTTAAAGTTTAAACGATCAATTTTTTCTATCGTTAGAATGAAAAAATTGGACTGTAGCAGGTACGCGATTATTGCAACCGGAAACTTTCACTTAGGATTCTGGATATGTACTTTTCAGTTTTGTAAATATTGTTATAACATTTCTACTCCAAACGGTCCCAAAATGAAGGCGGAAATCCCTACAGGTGGGGCCAGTATGGTTTTCATATTGTTTAGTACCTAATTGCGGTAATGTCGGTAATTGTCGGTGTAAATCTTGGAACACGGATTTTACTCGAACATATAATTTAAAAAAATCAAAAGGAAGAGCCTTTGGCGATATAAAAACATTAAATACATGTATACATAAGATTTATGCATGCATGTGTATGTTTAACATTTGACTGGAGACACTTTTGCACTGATTACTCACGGAAAATATATTAAATGTGGATCATTAATACAGCAGAATTAAGCATGAAATAAATGTTTCCTCTACAAAGTCATCAGAATCAACAGACCACTTTAAATAATAGTCCACAACTAAGCACATTTGCATGAAACCCTTAACCGAATAAATTTAAAGGTCTATTAATGATACCCCATAGGTTTATTTTTCAGCATCAATTATGTACGAACCCTTAAATCTGTTTACCTTTGGTTACAGCAATAAAGCTTGCGAAAATAAATTGTCAAATGAGGTTGCTCTACTTTCCCACTTACGTACTGAATTAAAAACGGCATAAAGCGAGTAAAACGTCCGAAAGAAAAATCTCCGGTGCATTCCTTCGTGTATGACACCAGAATCAATATTTATTACCGTCCAACCAGCAGCTGTTTGCGAACCAAACAACTGTGATTTGAACTTTACTCGTAATTTCACAGGCACATCACTGGTCGTCCGTCTCTCTCCGGCAAATGGGTAGTGTAAAATTTTTTTCATTCATCCACGGCCAGTTTATATTGTTTAGAGGAGCAAACCGCGGGCGGTCTTCCTATATGGGGATGATTTGCGTTCGCTCCTCTCGGTTATACCCCTGCTTTAATATCAACGCATACGGGAACTTTAAATGGCGGACTGAAACACCTCTTCATTTATCTAAATCCGCAATTTAGATCGACCCCAAGCTGATATTGCAGTCGGGACATACCATATGGCATATTTTTAAACTTGCATGACTTTTTCAATTGTATTGCACGATAATTATATGTGCGTAATGTCCTACTGATTGAAACGTAATTAAAGGAAGTACCGTTGGTTTTTACCCCAATTTATATGTCCACACAAATTTTACACGATCATCCACCTCGGCTAAATAATAAAATTTGCATATCTTTGTTATTATATTACATAAATAATCAATTGCGGAAAAAAAAACTGAAAAACTATGGAAGTCGGTTGTGTTAATTAATTATTATATTCACTACTAGTGGGGTGGAAAACAAACGATAAACGATTTGTTAATTACATGGAAGCAAAGAAATTTAAGTAAATCTACATGCCTAAAACATATTTACTGTGGCGTGCGTCTTCCGAGGCGTTTCAGAACTATGCGGGTTTTCTTTATTTTGAGCTCTTAAATTTGATTATGTAATTTAATACGACTACTATATCTAAAAAAGTCTACGTTTTCAGAGTATGTGTATGTATAATGAAAAATATGGCCCCTTCGACCATGCAGACGTGCGCCACTGATCACAAATTTAAAGTACGCTTCTTTTGGTTTTGAAGATTCAGTGTCTCAAGCAAAATTTGCACCCTGTAGAGTGTAGACGATTGGTATGCATAAAAATAATCCAATTAAGTTTAGTCAAAGTTAAATCTTAAATACAAATTTGCAACAAATCAGTTTGCAAAAGTTGAAAATTCAATTTTGTATTTTATTGATATTAATGGTTCTATTTGTTCCAGAAGGTCTATATGATGTCCTGCGTGGAATTGATTCAATACTGGGTAAGTTTACTTTTAACTGTGTAACTTAAAAAACGCACCACATATACAGGGTGATTCCTATAGTACCTGCCACCGTTTGGGAGCGTATAGGGGGTGCCTAGGGGAGTATTTTGATATAGGACACTTGGGGTCGGAAATCTAAAATAAGGGCGCAAGAACCAAATTTATCTTCTGGAATTTCACGCCTGTATGTAGGCAACCCAACCGACCGACGTTTCGCGCGGAGCGATGCAGAGCGAGTTAGCGCGAGGAAGCGACATGGGAGGGAAGGAGGGTAAACGACAGTCAAAAGCAATAACGTTTACAAGTGTTCAACGTGGCCACCGTTGTTCTCAATGCACTTCCTACATCTAGCCAACTATTATTATACTATTGCCATAGTGTTTATTCACTTGATACGCGTCGTTGCAGACGGGATGTCGTGGGTTTAAACAAAATTCTGATCAAGTGTCAGCCACACATCGCCGCCTGAGATCCTCCGTGTGCACCGCCGGCCGGTTGGGTTGCCTACCTACAGGCGCGAAATTCCAGAAGGTAAATTTGGCTCTGGCACCCTTATTTTAGATTTCCGATCCCAAGTGTCCTATATCAAAATACTCCCCTACGCACCACCTACACGCTCCCAAACGGTGGCAGGTACTATAGGAATCACCCTGTATGTAATGTTGGTCCAATCAAAAAAAAACGGCGTTAAATGATCCTAAGGTTACTATAATTATTAATTAATATTTGTTTTTGTTGCATCTCTGATTGTCTTCTCACTTGAAAGCGAATTTTTGTTGTTTTATGCTTGCCGGGAAAGCCGTCAAAAAGGTCATCCTATCATAGCAATTGACGACTTGTCAGTATTTCCCCAAGCACAAGAAACAAATCTCAATCAGAGAAATTTATGGCAATGTAACTCGATAAATGATCATTGAATTCAGGTTGAAAAATCTTGTGAATTTCTAGAAAGAATACACTTCCCAATTACAAAATGTTTGGGTAACTTTGAAATTGCAACCAATGAATTAAATAATTTACATTTAGCGAAATCCATCTTTCTTAAGGAACGGGGAAGTGTTTGAAATTCACATTTAAAAAACGGAATTTGTTCTTGAATAATATACATTTAATCAAAGCAACATTTAACAAAACCGGCTGATGCTATTTTTTCGTTGAAATGCGTTCAACTGCAAAGTCAACGTAAATGACCAAAGGCGCATTTTTTATATTACAACATCGTCACTGTAACTGTGGAAATTAACGTTATTAAAATGTCGTTGTTGCAATGTTAAAGTGTTAAAAGTTGAACTAACGTAGTTATGTATTGTGCCGGATTTGGGATTACCATCTAACAGTTTTTAAAATGGGATTTATGGGCACAAGGAGTACCTAAAGTAAATTTTGAAAGTTCGTTAATATCTTATTTTTATTCCCCTGACTTACCTTCGTAGAAATTTGGGAATTTTTTATATTATTTTATGTTTTGAAATTGAGGCACTACGTATCCTGTGTGAGAGGAAACTACAGAAAATACAAACACCATGCCACGATAAACGCGAAGTCGTAGGTCTATCACAGAAATTAATAAATAAAGGATCAAACAAAAGAGTTGACGCAGTCTTCCACACAAATTCGAGTAAACTTATATCCAACAAAAAGGGCATTGCTGCTGTGTTTTGCAAAAGTGCCCGTTTACGCAAGTATGATATTATGATACGGTTCTCAGATATTATTAATTATCCTTGTTGCCCTTACGAAAGTCTACTCAGAGCAGGAGGTAATGATATTTAATTATCCTGTGTAGTCAGACAACAAATATAAGAAATCCAAATCATAATATAAACAAAAGCTGGTAAATCGCGGGTTGAATAAAATTACCGGGATAAACGTCAAGCAATGAACTGAATCCCTGCGTTTATCCCAACCGTCATTATGTCATTAATTTTAGTTCAAGGGATTGTATATAATAAGGCAAAGTTACTAAACCTAAATCTCGTTGAAAAAAACAGTAAAATAGAACTATATAAGATTTAGCTTAGCAATAAAAATTTTAGAATAATAAATAAACGCTGCCGTGTTAGTTCATTATTAACTAATGGAATACCAAATTTGTTAGTAATTTGTTAGTAATTAAATGATCAATCGGTGTGGTGAGCTCGTGATCCATTTGGTAGTCTTCAAAACGATTTTTTAAAGTTCTAAATCAATAGCAATAGATGCTTAATCATAGAAAATTAAAGAGAAACTGATTGTACTTAGTGATCGTTTTCAGTTTTGATGCTGAAAAGCTAAAGGATGATACAAATATGTCTACTTGACGACGCAACTTTACGCTAATAGATACGTCGAAAATGATGATGAAACTTTAGTAATCAGCGTTTGAAAAGCTCCTTCGCGTTTCACAACACAAAAACTAAACGTTACTAACATTTAAATTACCACTTGAAGTAAAAAAATTGCTACTTAATTTTCTAAATTAATGTTGCATATAACTCAACGCCCGTAACATTCGTCACTGTAAATAATTTACATTGGAAAAAAGCGAAGTGAACACCTAAGGGTTAATATATAATTATTATCATTTATTTAAATTTGTCGACATGTAGATTAAGTCATCAGGCGGTGTTTGCATATTAATTGGATTTTTTAAATGCGGAGAAAGCAATTTTAGGATTTGTGAGCGAAAATCGACCGAGAGAGGGCTTAGGAACCTTCAAATTTTTAAGAAATTGCAATCAGCATGGTGTCCGGGGTATCTGAGTGACACTAATCCTTGCGGGCCCTAGTAAATGTGCGCAGAAAGTTAAAAATCCCTCCGAGGTGATGCGACTTTAACCATTAAAGCGTGAAAGAATTCCATTCCAAAGGTATATTTTGACACTGAAAGGACAAAGTAAGTTACAGCACGTTGATTGATGCAATGGTTAAACTTGAAAGAACCGTTAGGTGTTAGAAGTTGCTCCAAAATAATTTCTTGTATCGTCTTCAAGAGTTTGTTAGTAAATAATAAATGGTTGTTCCCATGATTATTATAACTAACATAGCTGTCAATTTAATTTGCGTGTATTGATTATAAGAATGAAACATATGGTAACCAGAATATTGTGAATATTCATTTTTTTTTCAGGTATACGTACTTATCAATACCTTGTTGCAAAAAGTAAAATGTAATTGAAGTTCAACGTACAGTTACTTACTAAGTACAGTTATTATACATCAAGTGATATAAAAAGGACTACTTTATAACAAAAGGGTTATATGAAACGAATGTTGCCGATCGAGTTTTATATCAATTTATTTAACTTTCTCCCTAAATATACGGTAGTGGCGGTGTACTGATCGATCCTTGACATGTTTTCATATATTCTTCGACTAGCACCTAAAATCGGTGCAAATTGATGCACAAGTATTACATTAAAGTGGCAACTAATTCATAAAGCTTAGTGCTATATGGCGTAGGTGTAATTTTATTTATTAATAGCAACTATTCAATCTCTGATGAACAAGATATTCCAAATCTTCTTGATGCCAGGTGGTGCCAGTTCTGGATCCAGGTTTTATATTTATGTTGATATTTTTATGAATAGTCCACTGACGTGATTATCCTTTCAGCACGTTATTAAGAAGCAATATAAGTTCTCATGGGATGCAATCGGAGATAGAAGTATATCACTTATGGAAGTGTTCTTTTTAATTTCAATTTAAAAAGCGAAACCACGACAATTTCTTTTTTATTGTGTAACTTCTGATTAGTATTTATAATAATCTTCCTGAAAACCTTAAAATCACTATCGATTTAATCATTTAAACTGAAATTGCGCAAACTGCTACCAAACATCAAATACAGGGTGAGCTTTTTTTTCACTTCCACTTTAGGGATCTTGTAAGCCATAAGAGTCGGTTAAATAGGCAAACTTATGCAGCAGTTATTATCCTATTCATAATTACTTGTAGCTTTACAAATAGCAAAGTTATGTTCAAAAAATGGAAAAATGTTATTTTCGAAAACACGTCGACGTTCATTTAATTTCAAAGATATCAAAAAGTACTTTTTTCTCAGTTTTCTGATGGTGTGAAAATAAAATTTTTATAACTTGTGGGTTTGGAGTAAATCACATAAAGTTTTTATTTGTTACGGACATCATATTCGATTTTGATGTCACTCGGTAAAGAAAAAAATTACAAAATTGTCTATACCAAATACTTAATCTTGAATTTTTACCTTGAAGTTTCTTATGGCAATAATTCCATGGCCGTGTCGAAGGCGACTATGCTAGACAATGAACGAATGAATTGAGTTTTAATCATAATCGGCCATGGAATTATTGCCATAAGAATTACATTGTAAATTTCAAAGCAAACATTCAAGATTAATTTCCAAATAAAATACTAAATATTTGGCATTGCCCATTTTGTACCATCATGAAAAAAAATTACTAGAGTTTGTTAAAAGTATTTTTTGATATCTTTGAAAATAAATAAACGCCACCGTATTTTCGAAAATGCTATTTTTCGTTTTCTGGCCTTAATAGTTATTTCTAGAGCTACAAGAAACTTTGGAAAGTCAATTACCAACAAAATAGTATTAACAAAATGGTACACAATGTTCCCTCATTTTTTCAATGGGCCCTCCTGTCAACACTGTTATTTGTAAATGTATTACTACTAAATACTTAGTACTTCATTTTGACATTTATCTTATTTACAATGTATTTCTTATGGAAAAATTAACGCTCGGCGAATTAACCAGCTTTGGTACAGCCCCGAGCGGGATGAACCTGTTATACGAGTATACCCAATAACCTCATAAGGTAACGGAACCTTACATACCCTTGGATCAACAAAGTGTTTACAGTCAAACAAGCGAGAACCAGCCTAATTTATTTTGTAAAAACAAGAACAATAAATACTAAATACTAACAATCAAAGCTTATATGCGTACAACCCCTCTACACCCAAATTACAAACCTTACATCCTACCTAGTCATACGCCTAAACGTATTCCAGGAAGTCAA